AATCAAACTAAGTTCTACTTCTTTTCATGTCCAAGTTCCCTGTAAAATTTTATCATTAAAAATTAAATGAAATATTTATCCTTTAGTAATACACTGCAGTATCGTTACAGATTAGCAAATCTTTAACTATAGTATACGGTTCTAAAGGAACCGTTTTAAGATGTGGACACACAAGGTCATTGTGAACGATTAGTCGTGGATCGTCGAGTTTAAATCTATATAGTAATATATCTCATCATTTAAGGGTGATAACTCGTTTATAAGCCCGTCAAAATGACATTTTACTTCCACCTGGCCCAGTTTTCCTAACATAAAGACTAACTATATTTATCATAGTAAAAGGTACAAAGTTATATTCATTGGTATTTATCGCGTAAACAATCTCTTGGCTAATACACCATTAAATAACTCATTAATAAATCTATTCGATACGTTAATTAAAAAGAAAGAAAATAATTGTTCGTTTAAATACATTTTTACTATATATAAAATGATATTGAAATGAATTTGATTGAAGATTTCAAGTATTTGATGTATTTGAAGTAAATGTTTGATGTATTTGAACGAGAAAAATCAGAATTTTAAATTTTTATTATCGAAATTTTTCCAAAAAAATATTACAGAATATTTACAAATTACAAAATGCGATCATTTGATAATCGGTCATGGTACATTTAGTATTAAAATAAATCCACTTTAACGAAAATCGAAAGCTTACCAACATTCGTAAGAATTTTCATTTATAACAAAATTTTCAAATTTAATTATCATAAATAGAACACCGTAACAGAGGGCACCATAATAGTGAAGATACCTAGACTATTAAACACTAATCTAGATAGAATCAGTTGTGCTTGATTACGTGTTTTGAATTTTAATAGATTTAGGATTAACGATTAGCGAATGTGCAGTACAGTTTGTTTTTAAAATACAAAAATATAATAATGTATGTCTTTGGAAGGATTTATAAAAAATATTCAGAACATTAATGATCAAGGTAATTAAAGAACCTTCTTGTATTTTAAAAAAAAATTCAAAAAATTTTCAAATGCTGAAAAAGTTCCAATAAAAGGGACAAACGTTCTAAACAAAATTTGTCAACCTGTCCGATTTTCCTTTAAGACACGTTTATTCGTAAGAATGTTTAAACACGTAAGTGGCGATCGGTATCGACGAAGTTTCCCAAATTGAAATTCACGACGACAAATCTTGATACGAACTTGAGAACGATTCGAAGTATTCACTTTATCTAGGACAAACCCAATCTACGAACGTTTCGCACTTTGCGGTTCGGTTAGACCACGCTAATTTGCTTTCGCACTCGACGTTAACCGCGAATGATTCGAGTTCACAGTTTGTATAATTAGACGTCTTCGGTTTGTCATCGAACGTAATTTCGTGGAATTGATTAACAATCGTTAACTCATTTTCGATTAATTAAACAGAATAATCAATTTTGTTAAAGATTGTATGTAAATATATAAGTTTCAAAGGGAGTAAAAGACAGTTAATAAATTTGATGAACAATTTATTTTGACCTTGTTGAACGTTTCGTCCCTTACTGGGGACTTCCTCAGCAACTACAAATTTTTTTTTTTTTTTTTTTTATTATGACTTATTAAAAAATATAAACATTACAATAAATAAACTCTAATTTTTTTACCTCGATCACTTAGTTCACGCGTCAATACATATTATTTTATTTCCAGAGTCATACATTACAATAAAAACTTAACATATTACAATATAATTTAATTAATCCTAAAAACACCTTATCTCGTCATGTAATATGTAAATTTTGGAAGACACGTGATTCACTTTCACGTTTATTCTTCCATTTTATTTTTTTCTTTTATTATCGTTCTTCATCTTATTTTTTCCTTCTTTTTTCCATTAGTTGCATTTTTCGCCATGTTGCACTGGTCTCCTCCACGTTGCTAACAGCCTCGGTTGAAGTCTCGGTTCTTTGACGTGTTATACATCTCTGAGGTGGGGTAAAGAGGTGGTTTCACTCTCAAGAACGTTCATGTTACGTGCATCATGAAACTGTGGTGGTAGTGGTGGTGGTTGGAAGCTTTTGCTAAAAGCTCGTTTAAAACGTGGAAAAGTATTTTCGTCTTACGTCAAATATACTCCCACTCTAAGGTACAACTTAAGAAATTAGTTTTACTCTTGGTGCAATTAATTTATTGCAACCTTCAACTTTTTCATGCTTGTTATTTGATAGAA